GACACTTATAGAAGGTAAAATAATGATAACAGAAATATTCCGACACTTACTGAGGACAAAGTGAAGGATCAGGGTCACCACAAAGCCAGTGGGTGGAGATTTGAACAAGAACTGGAAGACGTAAGTAGAGAAACTGGCGGCGAATCCGTAGAGCAAAAAGAGAAGGATAAGGGGACCAATGGCGTCCGGGCCAATGAAAGGCGTCTCGTCGAAGCCGAGGAAGATAGCGATGATGCCGATGACAACGAGGAGGTAGATGAAAAAATCCCACAGGAAGGTGGCGAGCCAGAAGGCAGCAGTAAGAAGGAACCAAAGAGTAGCAGTAGAAAGGCTGCAGAGTCAGGAGCCCAGAGGAGGGGGCAAAGGAGGTGAGGGAGTGGGGGCAGAAAAAGGAGACGAAAGCAGACGACAGAATGTTGTTAGATAGCAGGAAAGTAGGTGAAAGGAGACCATTTTAGAGAAGAAAATGTTTACGTCGCTCACCGAAAAAGCCTAACCATGTGGTGAAACTCCAAATGTTTTACGTCAAATTTCTCAAAACTAGGTCAACTGAGCAGATAGAACTTTGTGAATCTAGGGCAGTGAGTAGTATATATCTCTGGACATGGCCAAGGACCACTCACCCGCACGTCTTCCCGACTGTCACGCTTGATGACGGCCACCATGATCGTCGTGAACAAACCTGTGGCACACACAGACACGTTGGAGCAACTCAGCTTTTTTACTTCGTAAGAGTTTTTACGGCACTTGCAACACATTTAAGTTTGGTCATAGAGATGGAGATTACAGGTAGTAACAAGATAGTAACTATACAAACACAAAAGAGAAGGAGAAGAGATATAAGGAAGATAGATCTAGATGCTTGGTGTGTGAAATCCACACAGAAATATGTTTTTAAGTGAATATAAAAAGTACTGAGGAAAAGTAGTACACGCTAGTTACAGTAATATTACGCCATTTATTGCGAGATAAGTAATGATAAAAGAAATATTTGTGAGGCAGCGTGGTGGAATCAGGCTCTCGTCAAAATAATCAAAATGAAGAAACTTGCATTTTCCCACAGGTTTGTGAATTTTTATCGAATTTCTGTTTTTTGGCTCAACACCTTTCATGCCCATTAAAGAACTCATTTAATTTTCTGTGTGAATTTTTCAGAAAAACGTTGATTAAAGGCACAAAAAATGTAAATTTTCAGTTACCACGGATTCTTAAGCTAAGGAAATAACTAATTTTTGGCGGCCATTTGCTCTTTAATTTTACCTCTGAAAACAGGTGACCCCCACCTCCTTCTTTCGCAAATATCTCGATTTGTATTCAAGATAAATGGATATTTTTTTATCCAATTAAAGACAAGTGAACAAGCTTTAAGATGATACCAATAACTCTACATGCCCAAAAACTGACGAGAGCCTGATTCCACCACGCTGCCTCACATTTATGCATTTATTGTGAATAAAGTATTTCTATAAAACTAATATTAAAACACTCACTGCGAACTAAGTAATAATAAAAGAAATATCATGGCGCTTATTGCGACAAAGTAAAACAATGTAACAAAAGAAATACCACGACACTGCGAAGTAAGTCATGATAACAGAAAGATTACGACACTTATAGAAGGTAAAATAAAGATAACAGAAAGATTACGACACTTATTGAAGATAAAATAAAGATAACAGAAAGATTACGACACTTATTGAAGATAAAATAAAGATAACAGAAATATTACGATACTTATTGAAGATAAAATAAAGATAACAGAAAGATTACGACACTTATAGAAGGTAAAATAAAGATAACAGAAAGATTACGACACTTATAGAAGGTAAAATAAAGATAACAGAAATATTACGACACTTATTGAAGGTAAAATAATGATAACAGAAATATTCCGACACTTATTGAAGGTAAAATAATGATAACAGAAATATTACGACACTTATTGAAGATAAAGTAATGATAACAGAAATATTACGACACTTATTGAAGATAAAATAAAGATAACAGAAATATTACAACACTTATTGAAGGTAAAATAATGATAACAGAAATATTCCGACACTTATTGAAGGTAAAATAATGATAACAGAAATATTCCGACACTTGTAGAAGGTAAAATAATGATAACAGAAATATTCCGATACTTATTGAAGGTAAAATAATGATAACTGAAATATTCCGACACTTATAGAAGGTAAAATAATGATAACAGAAATATTCCGACACTTACTGAGGACAAAGTGAAGGATCAGGGTCACCACAAAGCCAGTGGGTGGAGATTTGAACAAGAACTGGAAGACGTAAGTAGAGAAACTGGCGGCGAATCCGTAGAGCAAAAAGAGAAGGATAAGGGGACCAATGGCGTCCGGGCCAATGAAAGGCGTCTCGTCGAAGCCGAGGAAGATAGCGATGATGCCGATGACAACGAGGAGGTAGATGAAAAAATCCCACAGGAAGGTGGCGAGCCAGTACATGAACAGGTTCACCCCGCTCACCTCTTGAAGGTGTTTGCAACCACGCTAAGAAAGTGGGGGGGGGTGAGGGGGAGGGAGGGGGGGGTATCAAGACCCTAAGATCTGGAATGCTTGGCCAAGTACTTGAAGAGAGATCATATCTTTTGATTCAATTAAAAGTCAGCTGAAGTCATTTCTGTTTTTAAATTTAATAATAATAATAATAATAATAATAATAATAATAATAATAATAATAATAATAATAATAATAATAATAATAATTTTTTAAAAAAAGCTTTTGTATAGCGCATGTCCCCACTAGAAAGCAAGCTCTATGCGCTTTACACTATATTATTACCCCAGCAGACCATAGAACACTCAGAAACATTCTCAGCTTTATAGGACGAATATTTATAGAGATTTCCCTTAATTCAGAACATAACGTTTTATGTTATTATTGTTGTACGTTATATTGTATTGCAAAGCGCTCAGAGCCTGTGTACTTTGATCACGGTTGAGCGCTGTATAGGAAATAAATGTAATTGATTACTATTTGAAGAGAAATACATTTCTGACAGGGTCATGGGGGTTTGAGTGAAGGTTAAAAGTAAACTTTTCCCTCAAAACTACATCTGCTGTACTTTTCCTTAATGTTTGATTCGTGTGAGGCAAATATTGCTACATTAGAAATACAAAGTTTTGTCTTTAAGTTATTAAGAGTATTAAAACCGTGAGGTCAGAAACCAAATTGATGATCTGTCTGCTCTATCAACATCTTCAGATTACTCACAGCCGTTGTCAAGACGATCGAGGAAATGCATTCCAAAAAGCTCAACTGGTGAAACTCAATTTTTTTAACGTCAAATTTAATCAAAACTAGGTACTCAGTAGAAATGGACCCCCTCCCTATTTTTTAATGACCCCCCCCCCCAACCCCACCCCAACCTCCAGAAAAAACCCACATTGTACACTACTAAAAAGCGGAAACACGTGCGTGTGTATGTATGTGCATGCATGTGTATGTGTGTACGTGGTGGAACACCAAACCAATGTGCCAGGATCTGGACAATGAAGATGTGATGTATCTTATCTTATCTTATCTTATCTTATATTATCAACACAACAAATCTCTCTACAATGAAGGTGTATCTTATCTTATCTTATCTTATCTTATCTTATCTTATCAACACAACAAGTCTCTCTACAATGAAGGTGTATCTTATCTTATCTTATCTTATCTTATCTTATCTTATCTTATCTTATCTTATCTTATCTTATCTTATACCTGTCTCTCAACAATAAGGATGTAGACAAAGCTACTCAACAGGAAGCCCATCCCCAGAGACAGGAAGATGGTGAGCGGGTAGATGTTCTTCCTCCTGTAACGGCTGCCGCGGTAGTCCAGGTCTCTCTCCCGGGTCGGTGGCGGCATAGGATGGAGGCTGGCTTGTATACTGGACACGGGTCACGTGATACAGAAATAACACGGTGATAAATAATGACTGGCCTGTATACTGTGATAGAGAAATAACACGGTGATAAACAATGACTGGCCTGTATACTGTGATAGAGAAATAACACGGTGATAAATAATGACTGGCCTGTATACTGTGATAGAGAAATAACACGGTGATAAACAATGACTGGCCTGTATACTGTGATAGAGAAATAACACGGTGATAAATAATGACTGGCCTGTATACTGTGATAG